GGTTTAGGGTTTAGGGTAGCCCTTACGGTGGATCCTATTGTTTAGCGGGGGCATATCCTGCACTGGTACGTTCGGACATCAGGTAATCGCCCCAAAACGACACCGTCCATAGCCTTATCTCAGGCGCTTTGCTGATTTGTTTTACACGCTTCACCCTGAAACACCCTTAAAGGAAACCCTAGTAACCACGAAAGGAACCCTTTATTGTAACCTCTATAGCAAACCTTAAAAGGAACCAGTAACCCTTATAGTGTATAATCAGTATAATCCCTAAAGTAACCCGAATTCCTGAAAACTTCATCTTCGATCCTGAAGCTCATGAACACACGGCCTACATCCGCTACACTCTCACCTGCATCGAGTGCTCTGAATCTGGCATCCGCACCCTGCCACAGACTGAATCCCATGTCCGATGAACCCTGCAATTTATATTATACCAAGAAAGGCCACAAGCCACACATCAAGTTAAGCAGTCTAGCTTGAATCATATGGGTTGTTGTCCAAACTGGGCACGCTTTGCAGGAACCCAAATTCAGAAGAAGGAGGCACCCTTATAAAACGGACCCTGACAGGGACCCTGCCTAATTTAGAGAACCACCTATAAAACCCTAAACCCTAAGCCCTAAACCATGTACGGCTTGTCAGGATCCTTCTATAGTCTACACGGAGTATTTCTCAATGGCCACTCCAAGCCCTCCATGCAGGAGCATGCCAGTCCCAGATTCGGACAGCCTCCAGTATGCCATTTAGGGTTTAGGGTTTTAGGGTTTAGGGTTTAGGGTTTCGGGGTTTAGGGTTTAGGGGTTCAGGGTTAGGGTTTCTTTTCTTAAGTGCAGTAAGGTTTAGGGTTTAGGGTTTAGGGGTTAGAGTATTGGGCTTGGGGATAACATCATGGTCTCTGAGTGTTTCGAACTCGCGCCGCATGTCTTTGCACGCACTGAAACAAGAAAGGCGTGACCCTAAACCCTGAACCCCACACTTTCTCAAACCCCCCCCCACATCCTCAGTCCTAAATTCCAGAAACATCTAAAAACCCCACAACTCAAACCCAGCGCTACATCCTAAGCCACATAGCCCCAAGACAACCGCACCTTAAATTCAAACACTTCCCGGTAAGGCCGAAGCCCCAAAACTTTAAAACACCGAAACCCTGTATTAATTGGAGGTTCATGGGTAGCTAAGAGTAGGGTGATATGGCCCCAAATATGGGTTGTAAGTACAGTTACCCTACTTTGTAACTGCCCATGAACCTCCAAGTAAGTTTATACTAACCCTTATGGCGAACCTCAAAAGTTCTCTGCTAAGTCTTAGCGGGAGCCCGTAAAGGATCCGGGAATTGTTTAGGCCCCTACATTCGCTCCCTGAAAGGATCCCTCATAGTATAGCTCGCGTATATACAGGAACCCTTATATTACAGCTCCCATACAGGATCCCTTATGTTATGGCTCCCTTTAAGGAACCCTCATATTCTAGCTAATTTAAAGGAACCGTTACTTACAGTTCCCTAAACCTGGCGGAGGCCTTCACCCGCAGGAGCAAGTTCATGACGGGGCCGACGAGAGCTGTTATCACAAGGACCATGAAGCCTTGACTGAGGCTCATGTGTTCCGGGTTTAGGGTTTAAGGGAATTAAGGTTTATGAATGGCTTTGAAATTAGGATTTAGGGTTTTGGTTCTATATATATATATATATACATATATATATATATATACCGTGAAACTCCTAACCCCTGAACTGCGAAACCTCCTCACTCCTAAACCAAAACTCCACTCCCTAGACTCCACCCGAACCCTCAATGGCCCTGTCGAGGGTTCCATTACTGCGATTTCCTTTTATACTGGTCGGTTCTTTACGGTCCAGGTATTCCCCAAAACCGAAAACGCCCTAAACAGCCCTAAGCCCTAATATGGTTTATAAGTATCGTTATCCTACTTATAACCCTTCCCTAAACCCTAAAGCCTAAGCCCTAAACCCACTTATAACTACCCTTGTGCTTCAGTCACCAAAACATCATCCCAGAGATTCAGTCGCCAGGCACTCCTTTTGCAGCGACTGTGTGTAGTCCCGGCGTAAGTAACAAAAGAGCTTGGCGTAAGCAACAAAAGAGATTCGGTGAATCTTTACAGGGCATTTTGCCCGACATGCAATGCAGAGAGCTGGCCAGCTGAGAAAACATTGTATCGCACAACGGGGTTCTAGAAACCCTTACAAACTGACATGTTATGCCCGAATTCCAAAAGCATTGGCACTCAGGGTTCTTACCCACTATGGGACAAAGCAGAGGTGAGTGAAGTGACCACCTCCTGACGGGCCTTTTTGGCCTTTGTCCAAATCGCTTGAGATACCCTGTTCTGACACAAGAACATGCGCCCAGGCTTTCGGTGTCTCTCAACGGATCGAGCTGCTTTCCATCTCCCGCGAGATTGAATTGACTGTAGATCACGAAGTTTATGGAAAGCGTCATGGCTTGCACCAGAATGTCTGAGAACATGCGGAGAAAGGTGCAGATGCGTCAAGCCAAGTTGTTCTGAAGCAGCAGTCAACTGATTGCAATATGCGCGGTATGACAGTCGATGAAAGAGCATATCTTGACCCTTGCTATGCAGATACAGTGCCTTAACAATCAAGTTTACATCTGATCTTCCCTGAGAGTCGAACAAGATGCAGTCATCGAATGAACCAGCTTTGGTGGGAATTCCCTCTTCCTGAGGGGCAATCGCCACGCCCCAAGTACATCCACTTTGCAGTGCCCGCGGGACAATCACACATTCGCGACGAATACTCAAGATCTCACACGGTCTCAAGTAAGCATCCCCCTGGATCAGAATCGCGGCCGCTGAGTAAATGAAGCCCATACGCAAACACTGCAAAGCGACAAGGTCCCAGATCGTTAGATCCACTCCTGAGCGTGAGTGCCCGGGAAAACGAGATTTCCAACCTTTCAACGCTTGTTTAGCAAAGGGAAGCTGATCACGTTCAGGCATATGCAGCTGTGATCTAAGAAGGATCCAACCAAAGATTGCGTAAGAGGCATCCGTAATCGGCCTGGCATCCTCGCAAAGTTCATGGATGAAGGCGGTCAGTAGTTTGTCAAGTTTGTCATGATCTACTCGAGTGTGTAACTTACTGCCACACCACGCCTCAAACTCCTCAACGGCATAGGAATACAAACCCAATGTTTTTGGTTTGACCATAGAAGCTCTCAAACGTTTGTTTGCGGGCAACGGCACCACGACGTCAATGTGGCGTTTCTTGTTCTGGACATGAAGATTTGGTTCATACTGCATTGGCCAGTTGTTGTCGCCTGCGGATCTCCCGCCTCTTCGAGGCTTCTGCGTTGGAGTGCTGCCCAAAGATGATGGAGTCGAGGAGTCGTGGAAACTTCGTTTCGACCGCACCGCTGAGCCTGTAGTATGCCGAACATTGTTGGAGGCGAGCACGTTCGAGGGATTCCAAGATGGACCCAATGTCTGCTCGATGCTCTTGCGAAGCATCGACCAGTAATGGCTTAACGACAGCAGCCCATCTCCTACAAAGACTAACCGGATATGCACCAGCAAGCACAGTATGATTGAGCCACTTGGTGTCACCATCCTGTTGACAACGCACTCTCCCGCGCAAAACCTGGTCATGCTTCTTATGGTTGCAGAAACCGACAAGGCCATCCAAAAGTTTGCAGTTGGTAAGCAAAGCGGTAGGTTTCTTGTATGGTTGCCCATATTGGCACATTGGGAACTCGACGAAGTGCACCCCCTCAATCAAACAGAGATCTTTGATAGCAGTGAAATCCCATAGTCTCGAGGACCTCGGGATTTCGATGCTCCACATGACACCCAAAGAGGATGCAAGCCTGCAGAGCTCGGCAGTAAAGAATGCAAGCTCACGTCCCACCAACTCTCGTCGCCTAGCTCTTTGGTGGTTCAAGATATTGCGCCTAGCCCGGGAGAAAACAGTGCAAGTGCAAGGAGTTCCAATGTGCACGTGTGAAACCTGGAACTTGTTGAGGATTTCCTTCACAGCCTGTTGCGTGCTTCTTCGCAATAAATCAAAGGATGGCCCCTTTCTAATATCGATGGAAGGCAGCACAGCCACTCCCATCGCCGAGATGGCCTTGGTGAGAGTACCGCTGCCTCCGAAAACTTCGAGAAAAGAACCCTGAGTAAAAAGTCCGGGAGGGACCCGAAGAGGACGAATAAAAGAATGTTGATGGCAAGTCTGTTCACGAGAGGCATCCTGATATGCTCGGGATGAGCCACCTGATGGGCCACACTCTCGCGCGTCCGATTTTGAAGGCTGCTCCCGCGACGAGTCCGTGTTGTCGAATAGAAAATCATGCAACCGAAGATGGAGAGGCTTTGAAGGCGTAGTAGCGGACGCAGTGGAAATAGGACTTGCATGCAAACCAACGTGACGGCTTGTCAGCCGCATTCCGCTTTGTTTCAACATGTCGGGTACGCCAACGAATCCCAAGTCCGACCTGTATAGCGGCCGCCGAACGACAAAGTCGGTTTGGTGCTGGACAGCTTGACCGCCCTTTTTCAAACATGAGGACTGCTGGAAGATTGTCGGACAAAGTCAATTTGCGCTTCCCCGCCAGTGAAGCCACCCTCGCGGTACGTTTGAGACTGCTAAGAGCGACTCTCGCCTCCTTCATTCCAATATGCTCGTCGGGATTTTTCCAGCGTCGCGCCCACAAGAGATGATAGTGCTCCGGATCGACAAGTGAGGATTGTAGAGGCTCAACTAAAGCAGGACACTCGACATCAACCCTGTTTGTTTTCTTTGCCCTGAATTGTGACATAACCGCGCTCGTTTTCAGCCAGGAGCCTTCATCAAGAGCTTCTTGAAGCCACTGTGCGTATTGAGTTTGCAGACCAGCACCTGAACGAAACCCCCCACGACAATGCTCCAGTATGCCACTTTCCAGCTGACCAAACTCGTAGACCTCTGTGCCACTGTTACGGTTCTTGATGATTTCTTTTCGGCTATCGGGGAGTGGAATATAGCGCCATTTCTCACGAAAACTGCAGGCACGTTGAATCTCAGGGACATCAGCAACTTTCGTCATCATAGCATAGCCTCTGTCAGCCGAATCCCCCCTATCCACTTGCCGCACATACTCGGCACCGAGGTCGACACTGCAAAACCAAACCAAATGCGATGCACTCAAGATCTCTTTACGAACAGACGGCCAAAGCAAGCATCGTTTATCCGAAGTGACTCTGATGAAGCGATATATCTTGTCGAAGATGCTGAGGAGCGGAGGTGCGAATCTGAAGAGTGACGTTGCATGACCAAGCCAAACTTGCAACAGATGACCATGGACTTTTCTGCGGCGTCCGAGCTCAATCCCAGCCAAGTGTACTCTCCAGATTCTATGTGGATTCTGTCGGAGCTTCTTCTCGTCAAAATCAATGATGCACCCTACGGTTTCGAGTTTGCGAACTGGTTCTTCAATGGGTATTCCGTTTTCCTCAAACACCTTCGCCACTGCCTGCGCCCGGACACTCACATCATGTTTATGGGCAACGAGGGTGGCAACATTGTCCACATATGTAGACGGCAAGGTATCTGCATCCCATAACTGCGGAACTTGTAGCTTTTCACGAAACTCAACCGCTCCCTCGGGTTTTGACTGACGGACCAAATGTGCTACTGTCTCGTTCGCGAAGAACAGCGTCCAAGTCCACCCCATTGGCATCACCGAAATGACAGGATACAGCATATCATACTCATCAACTTTTTCGTACGGCCCCGACTCCTCGTTATAGATCTCTTCAACAGGAATACTGTGTCTACGCCAAAAATGAGCTGCATTTGGAAAGTCGATCCCAAACCAAGAAGCCATCTCCTTCAAATTATGACCCCAACACTGTAAAGCCGCCGCAAGAAATCGACCCGGGTTTCCAAACTTTGCCGGAGAGACGGGTCCCAGTACGGTTGATGAGGGCAGCTGTCGGGGTGTTCACGTTTGAATGTTTCGAATTCCGAGTCGGACCTGACAATGTGTGCATGCCGCCTTCTGAAAAGAGGTAGAACATGAGGAGGAAGCATCTCTGACAAAGGCCGAGGCCGAACCCTTGAACGAAGTATTCTCAACTTGTCCGGGTCATAACGTGCAAGGTTGCCGGGCTCCCCTTCAGAGGTTGTGAGTACTCATCAGGTCCTGAAGTGCACTAGAGGGCGTACTACCATCAGGACAAGGCCCCGCTTGGTCCACAGCAGCGTGTAGTCGCGAAAGGACTTGTAGTTGTACTGCCGTGGGGGCACGATGAGCATGCTGCGGAATTGGTGATTCGAATTTGTAGCCTGCGAGGCGGTTGAGCTCAAGCTCCGCCTGACGAACTCGCGTTGGCTGACCCTCCAGGACACCGGGTCCCAAAGGAAACGGGAAACCATGAAAACGCAAATCGCCCGTAAAAGACATAGCAGCCTCAAAATTGCACAAACAAGACCCTTGACCGCAGGCCACTGGAAATGAGTCAAGGGTGCTGCACAAGAGCTTAGGCCCCAGAGCTGGCGCTGTCTGAAGCGCCAGCTTTGGAATTTCCCTTTGATCGCCCGCGGCCTCGGCCCTTTCCACGAAGCTCATCTTCACCACCTTTACCCCGCCGACTCCCGAACTCCTCCCTGTAAAGACGTGCTTGCTTTTGAACATTGGCACGATCTTTGAGCTTTGAAGCCAACCAATTGTTGAAACCAAGTGTCACTGCTTGACCATGTTCCCCAACCGGTTGCTCCATAACCAAATCGAGCCCGGAGTAGTCCGGAGCACTGGGGTTACGAGCGACGGCCATTTCGATCTGTATCACACGCCTCACGGCCAACTCCGCCATCATGAGATTTGACAAGTCAACCTGATCTGTAGCGATCCCGACTCGAATGATATCAGCGAGGATCTTGTGCTCATGTGCAGCCGCGGAAAAATTGGAGACTGCAGACGTCATGACCCAGTTGTGGTGATAAGAAACCATGTCGCTCGACCCTTCCCTCACTGCTTTCAAGAATTCAAGCACGGCTCTAGGTCCACTTAAAGGCCAATCGTCAAAAGGGGTGTTTCGCATCAATGTGACACCTGATCTGAAATCCAAGAACCTTTTCCCCTGCCCATCAAGATGATTACCCAAAAGCCGAACGTCGCCTTTGGTCTTTTCTTTCTGAAGGATCCAATCAGCGCGATGTGCTGAAGCGATCCTTTTGATGAAAACCTCGCCCCCATCACGCTCAACGAGACCAGAATCTCTCAAGTTGACTCCCTCTTCAACCTCATCATCAGGGACAACTGCTCCAAAGTCGGGGTGAGTGACATCGGCAATTACCCAGTCATAAGAATCAACATCGGCAACCATCTGATGGTTGAACAAATTTGCCATCACCTTGGCCCTCCTATGATAAGCCTCCAAATCGGCACGAGGAATTGGATCAAAAGCATATAAGAAGGGAGCTTGGGCCACCGGAAAATCCGCTCTCCTCTCGAGTGGGACATGCGCCGTGACCTTCAAATCGATCCGCTCAATATCACCATCAGGGGTCGCACCAATCCAAATCCCAGGGGCTGTCTTCTGAAGTAACACACGATGATGCCACAGAAATCCCGCGGCATCATTGGCATAATGACGAAGAATTTGCGGCTCCTTGATATCAAGAGTTCTGGGTTGAACCACCGCCATGCTGCACCGCCTTTGATCTGCGCAGTGTTGCAGGTGTCACCGGGCCTTGTCGAAACTCAATATTACCTGGATTGTCGTCGGGAGCACTCAATGAAAGGCAACCCGAGGTTGGATCTGTTGCCTGATCACAATCGCAAACTTCGTCGTTCGAACCCGAGGTTGGAAGATAGACTTGAAACCACTTCCGTAGAGAAACCCAGCAAAAGATCACCACCAGAAACAGTTCTATCGCACCAGACAGTTTGAGTAAGAAGCGCTGGACCTCTGTTTCACGATGACAAGCTTCGAGCGCTCCGTTAGTGTGCTCAAGCAGGCGGAGCCCTCGCGCAACTTCAAGTTTGAAAGCAGAGATGTCGGCCAACAGCTGTTCGCTTTCAGTCCCTGCCCAAAACGATCGTAGATAATGGCTCGCCGCTACACAGGCCACTACGGCGCGAGGGCTAAACGAAACCATCCACTTGTCTCGAAAAGTCTGCAAACAAGTTGGGGATTACAGAAGTGACAGCCAGCACAAAAAGCGCAAGCTAAGCAATGAAGCTCCAAACAGAAACTTCGGGCTTCTGCCTCTGTTGACCCCGACGGCCCTGAGGAGTTCGAAGCCCTACCTCTAGCCGAAAACCCTACCGTTTTAGGGTTTAGGGTTTAGGATTTAGGGTTTAGGGTTTCCTTTCAGGGTCCGGCTATAAGGGTTCCTTTCTACAAACGTATAGTTCCTTATAAAGGGTCGGGTTGTTGTAAGGCTCCGCTGACCAGCTCTAAGCCAAATCTGCTAAACAGAAACGACATCCAAAAGCTAAACGGCCCTAGCCCCTGAGTTTGGAACCCTACTTACCTCCCGATCTTAAGGACAACACAACCTAAACCCTAAACCCTCAACCCTCAACCCTAAACCCTAAACCCTAAACCCTAAACCCCAAACACAACAAGCGAACTTCGAGTTGCCCGACGAGGAACCTACCTGCTCGGCGGAGGTGCCGGCTGCGAGGACACCTTCCCAGGCGACCCGCGGGGGGTTGAGGGCACGGTTAGGTGTTAGGGTTTAGGTTTTAGGGTTTAGGGTTTAGGGTTTAGGGTTTAGCGGGCTGGCCTCAAGCTTTCGGCTTAGGACTAGTCCTAGGATTTATAGGGTTCAGGGCTTGGGGTTCAGGTTTCGGGGTTTAGGTTTCGATGTGTGCGTTTTGGTAAGGGCCTTCTGATGGGTGCAACCCCTAAACCTCTAAACCCTAAGCCCTAAACCCTAAACCCTAAAGCCTAAACCCTAAACCCCAAACCCCAAAAACCCTAAAGAGGAACCTTTAAAGGGCTTTGACAGGAACTTCGGTGGCTTCATGTGTGGGGCTCGCGGAGATTCGGGTTCGCGTCTCTGGGTCTTGGGAGTCAACATTGAGGCTTAGCGTTTCGGGTTTAGGGTTTAAGGGTTTAGGGTTTGGGGCTTAGGGTTTAGGAATTTTAGAACCAGGACCCTCCATGCACCCTCAAATAGCGATATGTGGTCCCAAATAATGGGTATTCAGGTTCTACCAGAAGGTAGATGCGGGGTTTAGGGAGGAGCCGTTCCGACTGTGCCATTTTCAATACAAAGACAAGGTGGTCGGGCGGTCCGGGTTCATCGCTTTACAGAATGTATTCAGGAAGGGTTTCAGGTTGGTAGTTGGTTCAGGGATGAGCCTACCAACGACGCTTTGGGACTTATGTGCGATTTCGCTTTGAGTACATCTAGGACCTGGGCCCGTGTCGAGTATGCTGACTGACTATACCTTGGCCCCACCTCTTCTGCATTAACTTGGAATCCCTAGTCCCTCCCGCTCCTTATTGCTGAGCCCCGTTGTTGGATGCGTTGTTGGTGCCGTGCCTTTCTACGAGAAGGTAAAATGCTGGCGGGAAAGCTCTGCGGCTAGCACGGCTTTGATTATGCATTCAGCCGTTATAAGTACAGTAATAATGCCCAAGACGTCACAGAACCACACAACCTCAGTACAAGTATATGTGCCCTCACTGGCGTCAGAACAAGCCGCGTCTATAGGCCTATAGCACCCAGCCATACCCCCTCAAAACTGAACCCCGAAACCTGAAGTTCTAGAAACCCGAGCAGGACGAAAGTTCGCCACACGGTAACTCAACTTTTTCTAAGGCACGCAGGAACCCCTTTCCCGATCTCAAAAAGCTCCCCGTCGAGAACTGCTTTGTAGTAGAACATTATTTCCAGGAAATATAACTACTCTGCCATGCCGGCCACGTAAAGCGAACCTGCGGCCTCCCAGCCTCTCGACGGCACATGTTCATGGTGCACTGAGACTATCCTCCGTACGTCGAAACTTTTGTCCCGGTGTGTAGTATGGGAATGTTGATTAGCTAGCTACTTGGACACCGGGGCAAAGTAGCCAAGAACTCTTCACTTATTGACCAGAAACATTCAGCCCTAAAACCCTATGCCCCAACCCCAAACCCCAAAACCCAAATCCTGAACCGCAAACCCGAACTCCCTACGCCCCAGAGACGACAGAGCTAACGCTCTAACCCCTAGACGCTCAACCCTACACTCTAAAGCCCTAAAACCAGTTGATACTCAAAAACCCCCAAAACCCGTAAACAGCCACCGAGGACACCCTAATTCCTCGAAGCCTCTACCCATAGGCCCCATAGTAGTTCCTTTTTTGGGATTACCTTACAGAATTCTAAGTATGAACCCCAAAAAGGAACTACTATGGGGCCTATCACTCCAGACTGCCTCCTGCTGCTGCCAGAGCATAGAGGAGAATGCCAGCTCCCAGTGCCTAAGAGACTAGGGTTTAGGATTTAGGGTTTAGGGTTTAGGGTTTAGGATTTAGGGTTTAGGATTTAGGGTTGAGGGTTTAGGGTTTAGGTAACCCTAAACCCTAAATCCTAACATTGATGGTAACAACAGCAAATGTTAAGAACAAAACCAAGAACAGACACTAGAATCAACATTAACAGCAGTGATGTTAGTACGAACAAAGGTATCAAACAACAGTGATCACAATAATGATACTAATTGATAATGATGCTAATACTGACAAGAAAGAAGCTTAATGATGTTGGGAGTCGGCTAGGCAAATGCGAGCAAGGAGCATAGTCCATGTATTTCACCGACGGCGTGTTGCGAATGCACTGCCCATTCAACAAGTAGGCTTCGCTCAGCTGGATCTGACACGTCGACCTCATACCAAGAGTGCTTGATCTGTACAGATTTCGGGTGCACGTAGCAGGGTTCCCCTCAAGGGATAGAGAGAAGTTGCGGCTAAGGGATTAGGCTCAGAGTTCAGGGTTCACGTTTCAGCTTACCTCCTGCAGGTTGTATTCATGCACTCACGAATAGCCCTGTACACTCACCAAGCCCTAGGAAAGAACTTTACATAAGCCCGAACCCCTTATAACACCCGGACAACGCTATGATCCGCATAGTCAACCCTAAATCCTCAACTTGGCGGTTCATGGGTAGTTATAAGTAGGGTTCAAAGTAGGGCAACTATAATTATAAATTATAACCTATATTATAAGGGAACTTCTCACCCCACCTATAACTACCCGTGAACCAAGAACTAGCAAGCTATGCGTTTACGAGCCGCGCGCGCGACTTCACAAGTGACGGGGCCATGAACCCCTGACGTCTGACCCTGAGCCCTATCGTTGGAATAGAATAATATAGGGGCAAAGATAATTACCTATGCTATTTTGGGGGCTCCTTATTATAAGTATAGTATGATCGGCCCCAAAACCCTATTCTGATTATTAAGGCCCTATGTTAGGGTTTGGGGGTATGGTTGCACAGGGACTGTAAGGGGCCATCGCCTCCAAACCCTACACCCCAAAACACCACAGGCTAAAAGTCCCGAAACCCTAAACCGCAAGACCCCAGACCCCCAAAACCCTAAATCTCCCCCAGGCCCTAAACCATAAACCCCTCAACCCAAATCCCCGAAATCCGCAAAAAAATCCTACACCCTAAGACCCTAAAACTCCTACCCCATATGTGGCCCTTAAAGCCACTTTAGTTCCCTTAATGGAACCCTTAGAGTAACACTTAAAGGAAACCCTATAGTAACCAGTAGAGGAACCCTCATGTAACCCTACAGTAGCCCTTAAAGGAACCCTTATAGCACTCTCTAAAGTAACTTCTGAAGGAAGACTTATAGTAACCCCTATAGTAACCTTTAAAGGGAGCCTTATAGTAATCCCTAAAGTGACCTTTACAGAAACCCACAAAGGAAACCCTAAACCCTAAACCCTAAAGGACACCATAAAGGAAGCCCTAAACCCTAAACCCTGAACCTTAAACCCCGAACCATAAACCCTAAACCCTACACCTTAAACGCTAAACCCTAAACCCTAAACCCAAAACCCTAACCCCCAAACCCTAAACCCCAAACCCTAAATCCGAGGAGCTGAAAGGAGCGCCAGACGGCGAGGGCACTGAGAAGCCCGGCGGAGGTGACGAGCCTCAAGACTTCCAAAGAAGGGTTTAGGGATTTATGTCGGGATTTAGGGTTTAGGGTTTCAGGGTTTAAGGATTAGGGATTTAGGGTTTGGGGATTTAGGGATTTAGGGAATTTAGGGTTAAGGGTTTAGAGTTTAGGGATTTAGGTTTTGGGGATTTGGGGTTTAGGGATTCAGGGTTTAGGGATAAGGGATTTAGGGATTTAGGGTGAAAGGTTTAGGGTTTAGGGTTCAGGGATCGACTAGGGTTTAGGACCCTTTATTGTTGTTTTGGGTTTACAAGGGAACTTAAAAGGTTCCCTTTAAGGGAACCATGAGGGCTTCTATCAGGGTATCATCGGGGTTTACGGGTTCTTGACAAATGTTAGGGGCTAAGGGACTCGGGGGTTTAGGGTTTACTTGGGGGCCCAGGGGACTTAGTATGTCGGTTATAAGTAGGGTTATAGTTGGGGTAACTCAACTTAGGGCACTTATAACACTACTTATAACCTACTTACTAAGTCCCCTGGGCGTCCAAGTAAACCCTAAACCCTAAACCCTAAACCCCTAAACCCTAAACCCTATAAACCCTAAACCCTAAAACCCTTCGAGGGTTAGAATTCAGGATTTTGTGGGGTTACAGGCTTCCAAGGTCTTCCGAATACCCCTTTGTTGAGGTTTAGGGTTGAGGCAACCGAAAGGGTTCCTTTAAGGGAACTAAAGTACGGGTACCATAGGGGTTTAGGTGTTTCAAAAGTTTTCAGGGTCCAGGGATTTCGATTTTGGGGGTTCATGGGTCTAGGCTTGATAGTTTTAGGGTTTAGGGTTTAGGGTTTAGAGTTTAGGGTTTAAGGTTTAGGGTTTAGAGTTGAGGATCTAGTATAGGGTTGGTTTAGGATCGTTTATGACGGTGCGCATAAGGTTTGCTAAGCGTTCTGTGGTATAGGCTTTATAAGCGCTTCCTACTACGATTTCAGGTTTATCCCACTAAGGCGTATTGGGCCTTCTGACTTCGAGGGGTTATAGAGCTAATGGACGTATAGAGAATGTGGTTTAGGGTTTAGGGTTTAGGGTTTAGGGTTATGTACCCTAAAGCCTAAACTCGACAATAGAAGCCATAAAAGTTGGAAGATCACAATCCACGTGCCCTTAAGGTAAATATATGGGTAGTTGTCAAAATTACGGTCCCTTTTGGGGTACCCTAAATAAAAGGTGCCGTATTATAATAAGGACCCAAAAGAGGACCATAATTTTGACAACCACCCATATAAGTGATCCACTAATCATGCGAAACCCATGCTCCAACTTCCTGGGCTTAGCTTCGCTGTAAACCCTTTTAGGGGGGCTAAGCCGGGCTGATAAGGCCAAAAACCCTAAACCCTAAACCTTAAACCTTAAACCCTAAACCCTAAACCCTAAACCCTAAAAAGGGACCTCAAGTTAAAGCCACAGCGGACAAGGGTCGAAAATGACATGCGATATTAACAGAAATACCTTAGGCTCCGAATCCCTTCGTAGGATGTTTGTGGCTTTGGGTTTAAGGGCTCCGTAGGTTTGGAAAGTTTCCTGATTCGGACCTCGGTTGCGGGTTTAGGGTTTAGGGTTTAGGGTTTCCTGTGGGAAGTACGTACGTCTGTTGAGGTGCAAGCTGTGGTTCCTGCAGGGTTTCTGTGGATGTAGGGTCCCTTCGAGGATTTCTGAAAGGTTGTCTCGACGGTTGCTGCGAGCGTTCCTTTCTAGGAACCCCTTCAAAACCGCTATCCAAATCTGACAATGCGAACATATAGGAACCCTCTAGGAAACTTAGGAAACCCTTATGAAGGAACCCTACGAGGAACCCTGCAAAAGAAACCGTTTAGGAACCTCGACAGGAAAGTTCAAGGACTCTTTGTAGGAACCCCCTCCCCCCCCCCCTCCAAAAAAAACACTACTTTTAGGAACCCTCAACCGTAAAACCCTGCTGAACCCTAAACCCTAAACTTAAAAAACCCTAAACCCCAAACCCCTAAACCCTAAACCCTAAACCCTAAAGCCTAAACCCTAAACCCCAAACCCCAAAAACCCTAAATAGGAACCTTTAAAGGGCATCCAGGAAGCAGCCAGACGACTGCTTCTGGGACCTGCGCGTCCATGGCCTCCGGGAGAATCCAAGAAGTTTCAAAAGGTCTGAGCCCTAAACCCTAAACCCTAAGCCCTAAACCCTGAACCCTAAACCTTAAACCCTAAACCCAAAACCTTAAACCAAAACCCAAAACCCCAAACCCAAAACAGCCTAAACCCAAAAACCCTAAACCCTGAACGCCCTTCAGTGCTTGGGGTTCCCTTTGAGGCCCTTTTCGGGGGCTTAGGGTTCTGTTCAAGGCTTCCTTTGGTTTTTGTTTTTTTAACTCCTTTGGGGTTTAGGGTTTAGGGTTTAAGGTTTAGCGGCGAGGGTGTCGGGTTTAAGGGCTCCCTTTTATGGACTCCTTGAGCTTTGTAAGGCATATTCCAACAGCTTGGAGCGGGAAACAAGGAGGCGCAATGCTTTCGTTAGGCAGAGGCTTTGTGGAAGCCGGAAACCCTAAACCCTAAACCCTAAACCCTAAACCCGGAAGCATCAGCAAGGCAGCCCAATCCAAAAGCGCCTAACACCCCAGAGGCCTAATGTAGTGTCGGGGCCTCAAGGCTCTTTGGGGCCCTTTATAGTAGATGTATAATAAGGAACCCCCAAAAGGGCATGGGTAACTATTAAAGCCCCCTATAGTATCATTGCTGTTCCTTCTTTCCAGCCCCTAACACCCCAGAAACCTGCATTTCTTAGAGCTACGCCCGGAACCCCCCAATCCCTGATCATACCCCGAACCCCGGGTGGCGAACTTAAACCAAAACTTCAGAAACTTCACCCGAACTCCCAACCAAATGCAAGCGCTGCAACCCTCTGTTCAAACCGCCCCGGGGAGGTTTGAGGTCAGGACCTAAACCCTAAACCCTAAACCCATGGGATTCGGGGTTTGCACAGGGTTCCCCCAAGTCTTAGCCTCGAGACCGGGGGTTTTTGTTGGAGTTTACCACAAAAAATAATGTAGGTGCCTTGATGATTAGCGTAGGGTTTTGGGGCCCTTTAAAGTATAATTATACTGAGGAGTAATGTAGGTGCCTTGATAATTAGCGTAGGGTTTTGGGGCCCTTTAAAGTATAATTCTACTGAGGAACCCCAAAGAGTATAGGAAATTACAGGATCATTGCTGTTCCTTCTTACCATAACTGTACCTTCAACAAATAATTATCATTGTTTGTCCTCCTCGACAACCAGCACCCTCAATTCGGGGTTAGATGGCTTCAGATAGCACCTCAAACTACCCAGGACCATTACCTAATTTTTCGTATTTTCTTATCATGAACCCGAATACAGAATCTGTAGGACCCTATTAAAAAAAAAGTTTTGCTAGCTGACGGTAGGCATTTAGGGTCTAAGAGCGGGTAGATGGAGGGTCCAAGAAAGGCCTAAACCCTAAGTCTTGTTTCTCAACCCTGAAAACCCTAAACCCTAAACCCTAAACCCATGGGATTCGGGGTTTGCACAGGGTCGAGACAGGGGGTTTCTGTTGGAGTTTACCACAAAAAGTCATGTAGGTGCCTTGACCCTGAAAGCTCGAGCGTTACGTCCATCAGGCCGAGCCGGTGCCTTATTTTGGGGTCCTTATAATAGGCATCCTCTTATTTAGGGTGCTATATTAGGGTCCCCTATTTTCGGAAACCCCCAAATAGATGTCAAGGAACCTTTGCTGGAACACGAAAGGTTTAGGGTTTAGGGTTCAGGGCTTAGGGTTTAGGAACCCCTACAAAACCCATCCTACAAACAAAACCCTGCAAACCCCCCAAGCCCTCCACTATCCACTCTCAAACCCTCAACCCTAAAACCGCCCCTCTAAAGACCTAAGACCTGAAGCACAGCCTAGAACCAGACCCTGGGGCGTAATTACCAACCAAGTACTATTTCTTGGGGCTCCGTATTCTAATCATGGTTTTTAGGGTTTAGGGTTTTGAGTTTAAGGGTTTAGAGATTTAGGGTGTAGGGTTTTATGATTACTACCACACAACCCTATTCTGTAGAACCGACCCTGGTGGGCCTTGGTAACTGCGATGCCTTGCGTTGTTGCCATCAGTGTGACGAAGCCAACTGCGCCAGTGCCCGCCTTCCTTGGGCGGGCTTTAGGCTTTAGGATTTGGGGCGTGCGGTTTAGGGTGTAGGGTTTAGGGTTTAGGGTGTAGCGCTGGGGGTTTGGGGTGTAGGGTGTTGGGTCTGGGGTTCAGGCTGCTGTTCGGGGACATGTTGCCCGAAGTGCTTCTGGTTTGATTTAGTGTTGGGCATACTTGGACACTTCGACGAAACCTATCCGAACAAAGAGGCCATACAATCATCATAAGGAAACTAGTAGGGCCCAGGTAGTGTTTAGATTACGAAATCAAAACTCCTAAACCCTACACACGAAACCCTGAACCCTAAACCTTAAACAAAACTGCAGCCCAGCCACCGTGCGAGGTTCAGAGGCTTCGCTACAACGAGGCCAGCGTCTTCGGCAAGTTTCCGGGGATTCTGCGCGGGAGATGTGAAGTTATGAGGGCTTAGGATTTTAGGGTTTATAGGGTTTTGGGTTATACGATTTAGGGTTTAGGGTTTAGAGCTACCTATAGGCTCCATTGCAGTCCTTTTTTGTGGTTCATATTAAAGGATCCTATAAGGTAATCCCAAAACGGAACTACATTGGAGCCGATGGGTAGAGCTTGGGTTTAAGGGATTAAGGGCTTAGAGATAAGGGCTTATGGTTGAGGGCTTACGCGTGAAAAAAAGCGCTTACTGGATATAGGGCCGTCAGCAGCAATCAGACGAGGGCTGTTGGTGTATGCTTCAGTATAGCATACATGCAGGGGTTAAAGGTGATAGTTGTTACACACATCATTCAAAACGTACGGCAGGGCTCTCCTGCCCAAAAGGCTTCGCGAACCAACACAAACCCTAGACCAGATTAACCACAAGCATACTCCAGAGAGCCCAATACTCCTTAAACCTCAGATTTCATTCTTATTATGCTTTAACATCTATTCCCTAATTAAGGGGTATAGTAACGGTATAGCACCAATGACTACCAAACCCTCTTTACTAAGGGTCACTAGGGATCTTAATATAAAGGCCCCATGAAGTAAGGGAGGTTTACATGACGATTCCAACCCTAAACCCTACTGCACCCTAAAAACTCATAGCCCTGGAAAGTCCTCGGCAGGGCCGGCGCGCTTGATGGCAACAGCGGCCTCTGACGGCCACGCCGCAATTCAATGCTGTTCTTTAGGACTCTGAGAGGGTTAAGGGGTTTAGGGTTTCGGGGTTTAGGGCTTTCGGGCTTGAGGGGTTTCGGGGTTTCGGGGTTTAGGAAGCCTGGTTCACAGCAGCTTCCAAAAGGGGACCGGGGAGCGGGGCAAGGTGCGAGGTGGATGTGTAAGGGTTTCGGGTGTAGGGTTCTAGGGGTTTAGAGTTCAGGGCTTTAGGGTGCAGGGTCTAATAGCTAGAAGTACTGCGCTTTTTGCGTTTCCTTGATATACTGGCCCTAAACCCTAAACCCTAAACCCTATACCCTAAACCCTAAACCCTTGATATACTGGGCAGAAGATGCTGTCAAAGACTTTGCACGACGACCCTGGCATGGTGCGGCAGAGATGGACCCCTTGGGTAAACCTTCAGAGCTCATAGCACATCCCGAAACCCCGAAACCCCCTAAACGGTTTAGGGTTTAGGGTTTAGGGGTTTAGGGTTTAGGGTTTAGGGTTTAGGGGTTTAGGGTTTTCGGGTTTAGGGTTTAGGGTGTCTTCGTAGTTGCATCGTCGTAGACCATGTCTACTTCAAGGCAAGGGGTTCGGGTTTACTGTGGGCTCTGGGGCTGGGAGCATGGGGGAAGATGGCCCTGAACCCAGGGTTCAGGGTTTAGGGTTTAGGGCTAAACAGACAACCTTCAAGTTTCCTTCCTCTCTCTCTCTCTCACCGTGATCCCGAAATCCCAAAACCTTCCTTTCTGTTTTTGATGCATCAAGGCTTCCTCCAAGGAAAGGAGCAGGAACACGGCAAAAAGGGCCAAAACCTCCGGGTGTCAGAAAATCGCCCCTAACTTCAATCTCGCACTGGGGTCCGCCCCCCCCCTAAACCCTAAACTCTAAACCCCTAAGCCCTAAACCCTAAACCTTTTCGAGCACTCCTTTTGATCTAGGATGGATTTATGTAGGGTAATATAGGAGCCTTTATAGTTCGAATAGGGTTTTGGGGTATGTTCTACTATAATTATAATAAGGAGCCCCCAAAATACTATAGGTAATTATTCAGGCCCCTACATTATATGCCGGTGGCTTCGGGATTCCAAGCCTTGAGTCTTCGGGTGTGTGGGTTTTTGGGATACGGGTTGAGGGTTTTCGGGTTTAGGGTTTGGGGCTTAGGTTGAGCGTTTTGGGGTTTAGGGTTTGGGGCTTAGGGGCTTAGGGTTTTGGGGTTTAGGGTTTGGGGCTTAGGTTGAGCGTTTTGGGGTTTAGGGTTTGGGGCTTAAGCTGAGGGTTTTGGGGTTTAGGGTTTGGGGCTTAGGGGTGTAGGGTTTGGGGTTTAGGCTTTCGGGCTTAGGGGTTTAGGGTTTGGGGTTTAGGGTTTGGGGCTTAGGGATCAGAGGGTTGCAGTTGCGACGGATAGGATCCTAGGGTGGTTTGGAGCTTGGCATACCTCCTCTCTGAAGCCTCATCCTTAGCCCCTTGTAAGCACTATACCCTAAACCCGAAACCCTAGGACCCTAGCACTAAGCCCTAAACCGTTTACGGGACCAGCAAGCAACATCGGGCTAAAAGTGGAAACTGAGAGTCAACCTTCCTTCCAAGAGCCCTTTAGGGTTTAGAGTTTAGGGTTTAGAACACTAAACCCTAAACCTACGGTTGAAGGTTGCTAGAACCAGCCGAGTAACGAGCATTAAGAATGTTGATGGATGGTGGTGTTGAAGGTGTCCACTGTTCACTGTTAGTTTCACCGGCGTCTGTTATCATCGCTTTATCCGTCTGTTTGCTGCTGCAAACTGAGTTTTACTGCCATACTCTGCTTTGCAGTCAAAGGCTTACGCTCTGAAATCGCGGAAATGCCGAAGAAGCAATCAAGAGCTCACAGAAAGAACGGTTTTGAAGTTCAATGGGTTTTGGCGTAGGCAGCTTGTGCTTCTAATGGGCTCACACGGCATTCTAGAGACGGCGGTGCAGGATTCAGGGGTCTAGACAGACCAGAATTACAGGCACGGTGCTGCTTCCACACGGATGCCTACAACGACACCCTTCTTTCGAAAGAAAACCCTGAGCCCTAAAACCCTAAACCCTAAACCCTAAAACCCTAAACCCTAAACCCTAAAACCTTAAACCCCTAAACCCTAAATCCACCGAGAACGAAACCCCAAGGTGGTTTCAGAAAGAAAAACTAACCTAGAGGATTCACTTATATACGAATAGTGTGGACTTATGGACATAAGTCCCCCAAAACTTAGGGTTTAGGGTTTAGAGTTTAGGGCTTAGGGTTTATTGCCCCAAAACCCATTATAAAGACGGTCTTTGGGGACCTAATACACAACCCTAAACCCTAAACCCTTTCATTCTGGTAGTACCTGTGGGCCCTCTGGAAAAGTAGCTGAACCCAGAGGCCAAACTGCGAGGTCCGAGTCGCCACGGGTAACTCTCAGCACGCTACCAAAGCCCTAAATCCTGGTTTAGGGTTTAGGGTTTAAGTTAAGGTTTAGGGTTGAGGGTTTGGGGTTTGGGGTTTAGGGTTTAGGGTTTAGGGTTTAGGGTTTAAGGTTTAGGGTTTAGGGTTACCTTCCCTAAACCCTAAGGGTCCATGTACAGAAACAGTATATACTTTGGCCCCAAAGTACCTATTTAGGGACTACTTTCAGGCCAAAGTATATACTATTTGGGTACATGGACCCTTAGGGTACCTTGAAAGCCAAAACGACCCTTAAAAGCAGGGGCGCTATGCCCTTATGCTATGAATCCGAAAATGGTATATGAACCTTAAACCCTTTTAGGGTCCAGATCGTCTTTTGAAAAAAACTGAGCTCTGTTACCTAAACCCTCAATTCCAAACCCCAAATTGCCAAACCGAACCCGAAACCCTAAATCCTAAACCCGAAACCCCAAACCCAAACCAAATCTTAGCTCTCTTACTAGAGCCGCAGAGACACCGTGGCCACCACGGCATCTGGGATCCATGGAGCAGGGCACTGCCGATCCAGGGACACCTGAACCTTGTTGCAAGCTGTGGCTTTAGGGTGTAAGGGTTTAGAGCTTGGAGGCTTAATTGGGGTTTAGGGTTTAGGGTAAAGGGTTTGGAGCCTAGAGGAAAAATAATTGGAGCTTAGGGTTTAAAGTTTTGGGGTGGTGGTTTATGTTGGAAGGATTTAAGATCTGTGGCTAAACCCAAGAATTACAACTGAAGTCGTCGAAGCTCAAGGTTCAGAAAGTTCAAGTTCTCCGTACTCAACTTCAGCCTAGCACTGCCTGTCTCGTGGAGGCAGACGCAGTGCTGTCCGCCAAGCCCAAACCCGAAAAGCCTGAAGCCCAAAGCCCGCAACCCTCAAGCTCCAAACCCTAAACCCTACAGCTCCAAACCCTAACCCCCTAAACCCTAGAACCCTAAACCCCTAAAGCTCCAAACCCTAAAGCCTAAACCCGTAAAACCCAAAACCCCTAAACCCCTAAACCCTAAAACCCTAAACCCCTAAACCCTAAAGCTCCAAACCCTGAACATGCAGGGTCTGGTTTTTCTGAACACTAAAACCCCAAACCCAAAACTTAATGTAGGGGCCTCAAAAATTAGAATAGGGTTTTGGGGTATATCATACTATAACTACAATAAGGACCCCCCAAACTAATACAGGTAATTATTCAGGCCCCTACATTGAACCCTGCATGCTCAAGCAGGCACCTCTGCCAGCTGTGCGAAGCCCTTCGCCGGCAGCAAACCTGGCACACTTTCTGTCCCAGTGGGTCCACATGTACTACCACCAATGACAGTTGGTCCCAAGAGACCCAAAAGACCATCCTTATTTATGCTATGAGGGACCTGATTCCCTAAACCCTAACCGTTAACCCCAAAATAGCAAGGTTGATGCTGATATATATATATATATATCCTGCACTACCCATAATAAATAATTAATGAGGAACATACCATAGCTCCCATAGTTTAGGGCCCTTAAGGTCATGCAGGATTTATATCATCAACAGTATGAATCCCTAAACCCTGGACCCTAAAACCCTAGAACCCTAAACCCCTACACCCTAAAATAGAGTACTACCCAGTCCACATGGACCCTCGAGGTGTTGCTGCGGGCTATCATGCGAGCAGGCTTCGGGATGGACGGGGAAGGTTTGGGGTCGCCACATTCGGTTAGGGTTTAGGGTTTAGTGTTTAGGGTTCAGGGTTTGGGCTTATATAGGTTTGGGTTTAGGGTTTAGGGTTTAGGGGTTTGGGCTTATAGAGGTTAAGGTTTAGGGTTTAGTGTTTAAGGTTCAGGGTTTAAGGCTTACAGTGGTTAGGGTTTAGCGTTTAGTGTTTAGGGTCCAGGGTTTAGGGTTTAAGGTTTAGGGTTTAGGGAAAGTCTAGGGCGTAGGAATGAGGGTTTGGGCTTGTTGTCGCATTCGATGTCGCTGCTGTCGCTGTCGGTTGTGGTTGGCACGACCATCACGATCGTCAGGCTTTAGAGTTAAGGGCTCAAGGCTGAGAGTTTGCGGTGCAAGATTCTGGATTGAGAGTTCACGGCATAAGGCTCAGGCTTAGGCACCCTCATGATGATGATGATGATGATGATGATGAGCGTCATCCTCCTCATCATCATCACGATGATCATGAGCATGTTCATCGCGCACCAGCAACATCCTCGTCGTCGTCCTGTTGTTGTGCTGGTGGGAATGGGTGGCATTCAGAAACCTTCTGATTCGACACTACCACGACCAGCATCATCACCACCAGCAACCGCTACCCACAGCCGTCATCATCAGCATGATCATCACCATCATCTTCATCGCACAACCCCAAACCCTAAAACCTTACCCCTAAACCCTGAACCCTAAACCCGAACCAACCCTAAGGCCGAAACACCAGAATCCTAGAGCCCTAATTAAGCTGCACTGTTTCCCACGAAGCCACGTCCCAACTGGGGAAGGATGCCAACGCTTGGTGACTTGATCAAATCCTGGAGAGTTAAAGGAAACTACAGGCGGGGAGTCTAGGGTATATAGGGTTCAGGGTTTAGGATTTAGCGTTTAGGGGTTTAGGGTTTAAGGCTTAGGGTTTAGGGTTTGGGGTTTAGGGTTTAGGGGAGAGTTTAGGGTATATACGGCTTCTATAAGGCTTCATAGACCTTCCATAAGGCTCCTGTAACGGGAACTACCTACCTGATCATGTCCCAGAGAGAGGCTCGCTTCCAGCTTTACGGCGTAGGGGCTTTGGGTTGAGAAGATTTGGGGTGTAGGGTTTAAGGCAAGGTTTAGGGTTTAGGGTTTAGGGATGAGGGTTTAGGGTTTAGGGTTTAGGGTTTAGGGGTGAGGGTTTAAGGTCCAGGGTTTGGGGAAGTTTGAGGTTTAGGGTTTAAGGTTCAGGGTGGGTGGACCAACATTGCTGACCCGAAGCAACCAAACAGACCTAAGGGCTCTGTAGAGAATGGTATTATGCCCTAAATTCTAAACCTGACGGCCTATAAGGGCTCAGGGTGCAGAGTGTGGGTGTAGGTTTAGATGAGGAGGAGCTTTGCAACACTCGGTTTGAAGTGTGCAGTCGCAAAAATGGACATTGGCTCTTCAACCAGGAGAAAGACAGAGATCTTCGGATTAAAAAAAGGAGGAAGACTAGGCTGGAAGGGCCGCTGCCAGTTAAGAATCATGGTGCAAGTCCTCACCGGACCAATCGTACAGATGTTGGCGTGTATCTTTCTACAATGATGCTACCACTTAGCATGGTCAAAACTAGGGCAGTGCGATACGGCTAAGAGACAAAAAGAGTTAACTGCCCCCGGCAGAAGCGCATTGTCGTAGCACCGTTCGTGAAGTCTTAACTGCTACTGGCAGAAAAGCGTTGTCGTAGCACTATGCGTGAACCGCAATCACCGCAACGCCGCCACGGTCCATGATCTTCATGCTGCCAGCAACCCTACCGCTAACGACGAAGAACGTGCTGAGAGACAGTTCGTGATGACGACGAACGATGATGACGACGATGACTGCGACAAAACTGATAGTGTTGCAGCTGATGGCGACATTGCCACTGCTGGATAGGCATGACGACAGCTAAGCTCGATGATGGCGATGCTGGGACGATGAAGAAGAAGCCAATGATGATGATGGTGATGGTGGTGATGACGATGCTGATGATGCTGATGCTGATGCTGATGCTGATGCTGATGCTGATGCTGATGCTGATGCTGATGCCGATGCCGATGCCGATGCCGATGCCGATGCTGATGCTGATGCTGATGCTGCTGATGATGATGATGATGATGGTGCTTATGCTGCTGATCATGGCATTGCTGCTGAAAGCACACCGGCATAACACAACAACAAGGTAGCAATATCAGTATGCGTCTGCAAAAGTATGGTTTGCTAAGCAGCCTCCATTAGACCATCTAGAACAACCGCATTTGTAACGGCAACCAAAACAACATGACAACGCTAGACAGGGAACAGGGTGGGCCTACTTACTTGGAGGTTCATGGGTAGTTATAAGCGGGGTTATAAGTAGGATAACTATACTTACAACCCATATTAAGGGACTTGTAACCCCACTTATAACTACCCATGAGCCTCCAAGTAAGGACCTCGAAGGACGTGGCGTTAAAAGCTTTGGGCTGGGACCTCATTCTTTAGCGCTCAGCTTTGGGACCTTCAAATCGGGCACCTTACATCTGAACACTGCCTTGAGGGCCACGCAGGAAAGCCTACAAGAAAACCCCAAAAGCCGAGTTCAATCAGTACTGCTCGTAATTACTGTGTACCCTTGGCCCTTTCTCTTTCTAACCCTTTGAAAAAAACGGGAGCACGGTTCTAACTCCTTTTTTTGTTTCTGTAGCACACGCCCTGAACCCTAAACCCTAAACCCTCAAACCCTAAACCCTAAAACCCCAAACCCTTAAGCCCTAGTTTTCTTAAAGCTCCTTAACCCTAAACCCCTTAATAAAGTCCTAAACCCTAAACCCTAAACCCCGTGCACCTCCTTAACCCTAAACCCTAAACCCCAAACCCCTAAACCCAGGGGTTAAGATCCAAGGCTCCAGTTGGCAAAGGCATGATCGTTCCTGGTCAGCTCCGGAGCTCTGAGAGTTTTAAGGGGGGTTTAGAGATTAGGGTTTAGGGTTTAGGGTTTTTAGGGATATTAGGGTTGAGGGTTTAGGGGTTTAGGGGTTTAGGTGCTTAGGGGTGTAGGGGGGAGGGTCTAGGTTTGGAGCTTTTTGGGGTTTAGGGGGGTTTAGGGTTCAGGGTTCAGGGTATCGGGGCGGCAGGGCCCGGCATAGTTCGACTCTATGTATGCACGGATCCATACTGTATGGGTCGAACTACGTAACGAAGTACCCTTTTTTGTGGGTCCGGCAGGTCCTTAAGAGCGCTGCTTTTGAACCCCAATACAAATCTAGAAACCCATGTTCGTGCTTCACTGCTTCACCTAGGAGAGTCCATATATACTACCATTTATGGAATTAAATAGGTCCCAAAAGACCATCCTAACTATAGGGTTTTTAGGGGCTTAATTCCATAATTTGTAGTATATATGGACCCTCTGGATCAATAAAGGCCTGTCATCTATTATTGTAGCTGTAGGTCACCACGCTCTCGCAACCAAGTCTCCTGTCGGAAGGTCCTGCTGGCACAGAGGAAGACGTTCTGCTTCACATTCCTGGGCACATGGACAGAAGAAGTTTTGGGCGTACGTACTTGTCCAGCTTCCCATGCGAAAACAATAATAACAGTCAACCTTCGTGATAGTTTTTCCAGGTTCCAAGTGACAGGCTACCTTCTGGGCTACATGAACAGAGGACTGTGGTTCAAGCGCAAAATACCCGAAACCCTGCACTCCTACAAACCCGAAACCTCAAGCCCTTCATCCCTCACAACCCTTTACAGAACACCCTATACAACCCTTGAACAAGTTACATAAATCCCTACAAACCCTAACTTAGCATATAAGCTCCTACAAACCCTCTTGAAGCAATTCTTAACGAAGCGACGTCACCGAACCCCCTCTAGAACTCCGCATAGAATGGCATAGAATCCCTTACGGATGGCCAAACCCTACACCACAAACCCCGGTACTAAACCCAAAATCCTAAACCCTTCACCCTAAAACCTTAAACCCCAATCCATAAAAGCCTAAACCCCAAAACCCCCTAAACCCTAAACCCTAAACCCCAAAACCTCAAAGCAACCGCTGCAGACCTGAAGCTTCCACTGGTGGAACTAACCAAACCGGGACGCATGCGAAGCATCAGGTCTTCCACTGGTGGGACCTTCCCAAAATGTTTAGGGGTTGAGTGAGGGTTTAGGGTTTTAGGGGTTTAGGGTTTAGGGGTTTAGGGTTTAGGGTTTAGGGGGTTAGGGGTTTAGGGGTTTAGGCGGGTTTAGGGTTCAAAGGTTCAGGGCTTTAGGGTTTCAGGGCTTAGGCACTTATATAGTAGAACGTAGGTCTTCTAGATTCTAGCTCATTAGGAAGTACATGGAATTGCTGTTGTGCTTCGGGGAAGTATCCCTCATAACTAATAACCGTGCTGAGCCTTTTGGCTTGGGTTCTTACACAGAGTCCAAGCAAGTTGGAACCGGGGCCCCTGTAAGGGGTCCGTTAAGGGCTCCTTTAAGGGTTGTAGTACGAAGGCTTTATGGCGGGATAAGGCTTCTCATGAGTTTATGATCTAAATCCTGCATGATCTTAAAAGACCCTAAACGATGGGAACTATGGTATATTCTTCATTATGGGCAATGCAGGATTTATATCATCAGCCGTCGGGTCTATAGTACAGGGGCCTCAAGGCTTCCTAGAATGGATTCTTTCTGCGCTTCTAGAAGGGACCTACAGGGTTTAGGGCTTGACTCAACCCTAAGCCCTAAACCCTAAACCCTGAACCCTAACCCCGTAACCCCGAACCCTAAACCCAAACCCTAAACCAAAAACCCTGAACCTTAAACCCGAAACTCTAAACTTTGACTTGGGTTTGGGATTTGGAGTTTAGTTCTTCGGGGGTTTCGGGGTGTCGTTGGGCTTTGGGTGTCAGGTTTCGGCGCTGAAGCCTCGGGGCTTGGGTTTGGGGGCCTTGGGGTTCAGGGGCTTTGGGGGCCTGGGGGTTTAGGGTTTAGGGGTTTAGGGTTTAGGGTTTAGGGTTTAGGGTTTAGGGTTTAGGGTTTAGGGGTTTAGGGGTTTGGAGGTTAGGGGTTTGGGGGTTTAGGGGCTCTGGGGACGTTGGGGTTTAGGGGTTAGAGGGGGGTTTAGGGGCTTAGGGTTTAGGGGTTTAGGGGCTTAGGGTTCAGGGGCCTAGGGGTTTAAGGTTTAGGGGTTTAGGCTTTAGGAAAGGTTGAAGGCTTTTGGTCGTTTGGGTTTAAGCACGCATGGTTTCGAATCCTGTAAGATGCAAGAGAACGAGTTGTTCTGATTATTCTACACCTTAAACCCTAAACCCTAAATCCATGAAACACTAAACCCCAAATATACACCCATACCCACCGTAACTCGAACTAAAGTCCAAGATCAAAAAGCGATCCTAGTCTTGCTTGCCCCTTACACCCTAAACCCTGTCTGCAATCTTTGGGTTCCTTTTAAATCTCCGGATTTCGAATCCTTCCTAGCACCAGGACTTCCCTAAACCCCACACCCCTAAACCCAAACCCCCAGACCCGAGACCCCTGAACCCTACACCCTAGAAACCCCTAAACAACTAAGGTACCCTTCTAGTAGCCCATATAGTTCCTTTACATGAAACAACCCCTAAACCCAAAGCAACGTAGAGCCAAGAAGCGAAAATCTCAATCGTAGAACCGTTGATTGGCTCTTCTGCGTGAATCCAGGGTAGCACTTGCACAGAAGGCACAACGGTCCTGAGCAAATCAGTCTTCGGGGCTTAGGGTTTAGGGTTCAGGGGTTTAAGGGTTTAAGGGTTGCGGGTTTAGGGAGGGTGCAAACCGAAAAGGAAAAGGATTAACGGCATATAGGGGGTATACATACAGCGTTTGGGGTTCAGAGCTTCGGAAAAGCCCTGAATCCCCAAAGTTGTATCTAGGGTTTATAGGGCTCATGCCCGTAAGTCGAGAACAGGAAGGCCGCAACAGGAGACCCAACAGTCTGCACCCTCAACCATTGTAGGGTTTAGGGTTTAGGGTATAGGGTTTAGGGCAAAACCTAGAGTAAGAGCTTCACATGAACTACAGAACACGGATGGCCACGTTTGTGAGTCTTCCGAAACCTCAGACCATGCACCCCGATCAATAGCTAGTAAGCAGTTATGAACCCTGGCTAATCATGAACTACGAAGCTGTAAGTATGACCTACAAGACCCTTGAACCCTGAATCACAAGCCCTTGACCCTAAACCCTAAACCCTGAACTCAAACTACGGACTTTTCCCACATCCACAAAGTTTATCAGGTTTAAGGCTTGGGGTCTAGGGAGTTTGGGCTGAGGGTCTAGGGCCTTGGGGTTGAGGGTCGTGTCAGTCCTTCTCTCTGTCCCCTAAACCCTAAACCCTAAACCCTAAACCCTAAACCCTAAACTCTACCGTTGGAGTGCTTCAAAGTCTTTTGGATGCAGAGGCATGACTTTGCGTAAAAGGGTACGTGCCGGTGTGACTGTGTGTAACCTTTTGGGCTCCTGTCAGGGCTACCTTAAGGGTTCAGAGTTTAGAGTTTAGGGGTTCGGGGTTTAGGGTCTTTTCTCCCTCTGCATCGTCTCAACCCGTGTTCAACAGAAATTGCAGGGATCCAACTAGCCCCCAAACCCCTAAAACCCTGAACCCTCAACCCCAAACCCTAAGTATAAGTCATGGTAAGTTAAGATTGGGGAACGAACCCTAATTTATGGAAGTTAAGGTTGAGCCCTAAACCCTACACCCTAAACCCTAAACCCGTACACCGTGGCTTTAGTTTTATGGAAGGCAAGGTTGGCATCAGCACTTCGGCCAGGATTCTCTGCATCACCTTTGCAGCTGCTGTCTCGCTGGAGGCTGTAGGACGCCTCTGGAACGAGCCTCGCGAGAGCCGACCACCCTAAACCCTCAACACTAAGGTCTCTAGTAGGTTTAGGGTTTAGGGTTTAGGGTTTAGGGTTTATGAGGTCTGCACTTATAAAGCACATGTAAAATCATATAGTAGCACCAATAGAAATACCTGGGCCACCTCCAGGACACGCGCTGCGCGGCCCCGGCGCGCAGCTGGAAGCGGCCCTGGTTCAGCCTCCCCCGCTCTCCGAGAGGGTGGGATCTCAGGTTCGGCCGCTTGGGGTCTGACGGTTTGGCTCGGGGTTAGGGAATGTCCTGTTTAGGGCTTTGGGGTTTAGGGTTTAGGGTTGAGGGTTTAGAGTTTAGGGTTTATTGTATTGGGCTCAGATGGGGTTTAGGGGGCTTCATGGTGAAGGGTGAGGGTTCAAGCTTCCGAGTGAAGGCGTGTTTGCGTCAAAGTGGGGACCGGGGGCGGGGTTTCAGGTTTGAGTTTAGATGACCCCTAACTCCCTAAACCCTTCAACAATAAACCCCCAAAAGCCCTAAAGCCCCTAAGCCCATAAACCGCCAGACCCCCAAACCTTAAAAAAACGCAAACCCCTTTGGTACCCTTCATAGTAACCCTCATGGCTCCCTTAAAGGAGCCCTGCCAGTTCCCTAAACTTCTAGGCCCGAACCCCTCAAAAGAATCGTAAAAAAGAAACCCTCAAATCGACCCTTAAAGAGAAACCCTGAAATGAAAGGACTCCTGAAAGAACCCTCAACTGAACCAAGAAAGCCGTCAAAGGAACCCAAAGAGGACCAAGGAACCCTGACCCCCAAACCGTAAACCCCTCAACCCTAAACTCTAAACTCTAAACGGCCCAAGCCCCTAAACCCCTAAACCCTAAACCCCCAAACCCTAAACCCCTAAACCCTAAACCCCTGAAGCCTAAGAAAACCTTACTAAACCCCTAAACCCGAAAACCCCTAAACCCTAAGAAAACCTTACCAAACCCTATCAAAACCTTTCTAAACCCAAACCCCCTAAACCCCTACACCCTAAATCCAAAGAAAAACCTAATTAAAACGTAAGAAAACCTTCCTAAACCTTAAAACCCTTAACCCCTACACCCTAAACCCAAAGAAAACCTTACCATCTCTGAGAAAACTTACTAAACGCTATCGGTTATAAGTCCAGTTAGGGTACTTAGAACTCGACCTATAACCTACTTACCAGCTGCCCTGGGCCTCCAAGTAGCTCCTACAAGCCTTGAAGAGAAACCCTCAACTGAACCGTTTAAAGAAACCCCCAAAGGAACCCTAAAAGGAAAAAGAAACCATAACCCAAAGAAAAACCTACTAAACCCGAAACCCCTAAACCCTACACCCTAAACCCAAAGAACGCCTTACTAAACCCTAAGCCCTAAACCCAACGAAAACCTGACTAAACCCTAAACCCTAAACCCAAAGAAGACCCTTACCAAACCCTAAACCCTGAACCCAAAGAAAACCTTACTAAACCCTAAACCCTAAACCCAAAGAAAAAAACCTTACCAAACCCTAAACCCTACACCCTAAACCCAAAGAAAACCTTTCTAAACCCTAAACCCTAAACCCGAAGAAAAACCTTACCAAACCCTAAACCCTAAACCCAAAGAAGACCCTTATCAAACCATAAACCCTGAACCCAAAGAAAGTCTTACTAAACCCTAAACCCTAAACCCAAAGAAAAACTTTACCAAACCCTACACCCTTTTCGACCCTTCAATCTTCCATCCCCTAAATCCTAAACCCTAAACCCTAGACTCTTACCAAACCCTAGCTCCTACCAGCGGCCCAGGCTCCAAGCCTCCCAGAATCCCAGGCCCGAAAGCATCGGAGGCCGCCACAGCGATCGCTGTCGAGGTTGATGTCAGCCGCCTTCGTTTCGGGTTTTAAGGGAGTTTAGGGGTTTTGGGGGGGTTTTGGGTGGTTTTGGGGATTTTGGGGCTTTGGGTTTGGGGGTCTAGGGTTTTCTGGCTTTAGGGTTTCATTCGGGGGGTTTTGGGGGTTTTAGGGATTTGGGGGTTTAGGGGTTTAGGGTTTTCTGGCTTTAGGGTTCTATTCGGGGTTTAGGGGTTTAGGGTGTTCTGGCTTGAGGGTTTTATTCGGGGTTTAAGGGTTTAGGGTTTGGGGGTTTGGGGGTTTTAGGGGTTTTGTGGGTGTAGGGGTTTAGGGTTTTGGGGTTTTGGGGGGGGATTTAGGGACGAGGTTGATGTCAGCAGCATTCTCCTGATCGGGATGTTTGACTAGAATAGGGGCCTAAATTAGTCGATTGTATCTTCTAGTGGAAGTAATTGTATTACGCTTTTGGAAAGGGGCTATCAGGCATACTCCCACTGCTTAGTCAGTTAGTCAGACCCTATGTGAATACTACACCCCCAGTGTTCAAAATCTTCAGAGAGACTGGGCACATCAGAAAGTCATGGACCCTAAACCCTAAACCCTAAAACCGAATCCCAAAGCCCTAAGCCTTAAACCCTAAACCCTTAAAACCCTGAACCCTCAACTTGCCCTAAACCGACCCTGATGTAGACCCCAACCTAGGGGCTGAGTACCCTAGCCCAAAAAAGGTTAACCTTTTCAACTATAGTAGGATTATAGGAGCCCCAAAAGGTTAAAGGAACCCTAAACCCTAAACCTTAAACCCTGAACCCTAAACCTTAAACCCTAAACCCCTCTACCCCTCAACCGTCCCCTAAGCCAACCATACGGGGCTCACAACTCAAGGCCTTTTGGGACCGAAAGAGAATGCCATCTTTTGGGGCCTAGGGTTTTGGGGTTTAGGGTTTAGGGTTTAGGGTTTAAGGTTTAAGGTTTAGGGTTCAGGGTTTAGGGTTTAGGGTTTAGGGTTCAGGGCTTAGGGTTTACCTCCGCCCCTCTGCGCCCCCCATCCCCCCCACTTCACCTCCATCGCTTCCCGAAGAGCGCCGACGCCAAGAAGAAGATACCCGAGACACACGGTCCTCCACCCGGTTTCGGGTTTCGGGTTTGGGGCTCTAGGTTCAGGCTTTAACTTTAGGGTTTAGGGTTTGGGGTTCTGGGTTCAGGCTTTAACTTTAGGGTTTAGGGTTTGGGGTTCTGGGTTTTTGGTTCAGAGCTCAGAGTTCAGGGTTTAACCCTTTGAACCGCGATTTTAGGGTTTCGTACATACACTGCGCAGCGGGAAATCACTGGTCAAAGGGGGGGGACCTTGGTAGGCAGGGCTCTGACTAGCGAAACTTACAAGTACACATAGCCCAATTCAGGGACCTACAACCCGAAACTCTAAACCCTAACCCTAAATCCTGAACCCTAAGCCCTCGATCCTAAACCCGCAACCCTAAACCCTTAAAACTAGCCATGCCGCCTCAAGTAGTGGTTTGCAGGTGCAGGGCGGAATATACCCCTGTGGTGCTTAGAGAGGTGCTTCAGACACTGGGCTTAGGGTTAAGCCCTCAACGCGTGAATCCCGAATCCTATCGACATTCCTCTAGGCGTACACCCCAACCTATCGCCGTTCCTTAAGGCGTCACCCCAATCCTATCGCCGATAGAAATAAGGCGTCAACTGCACCGTCCCCAACAAAATAAGAATTAAGCCCCTCTTAGTCTTTCGAGTAGGGATTCAGGGGTTAGGACTTAGGATACCGAATCACTGAGTACCAACCGTCTCTCCCCACGATACAATTACAAATGCAAAGTTTAAGCAAACGTGGAGCAGGTTTCGGGTTTAGGGATTAGGGTTTAGTGTTTAGGATTTAGGGTTTGGGGCTTAGGGTTTACTATGCTGAACTGGGGACCCTTGCAAGAATTAGACTTTTAACAGTTTCTTAGGGACTATAGTAGCCAAAAATTCAAAGCTATTTCCAAGTACCCCTAGGTTTTAGGATTTGGGGTTTTGGGGTTTAGGGTTTAGGGTTTCAGATCATGGGGTTTGGTGAGTTTAGTGTTCAGTTCAGGGCTAGGGGCTTGCATACTACGGTGCTGTACCCGGATACCACAACCCCTTCAGTCCTGAAATGTATACTAACGAACCGGAATAGAACTTCAGAGCTGCTAATTGACTACTGCCCAGGCCCGAAACCCGACTCTACACCCCAAAGCCCTTCTCCCTGAAACTCTGTGAGCCTGAACTGCTTGGCTGTCAGTCCTTGCGAGGACGGCCGCCATGACTCAACAAACCCAGACGGATGATCTCATCGCGGAATCAGAGACATGAAGCTGGAGAGGCACCCCAAGGGGATGCCAGACAGACGACGAGCTGCGCGAGGGAGTTTAAACCTTTCTGCACGACTTGTCTGCTCAACCCTACACCCGCTGACGCCAGTACATAATACCTAAGATGGCTACACAGCTATCTTGTTAAAACAAAACATTCTAAATCCTAAATAGCTACATGGCCATCTTGTTTAAAAAAACATTCTAAACCCTAAGATAGCTACATAGCCATCTTGTTCTAAAAAAACATTCAAAACCCCAAACTCTAAACCCTAAACCCTAAACTCTAAACCCTAAACCCTATAACCTCTACCCTTGTCAGCGAAAGGGTTGGGCCGGGGTAGGCCCTGCTCCGTGGCCTTTGAGACGCCACGGCTGCGGGGCGGATGGTGAGTTGGGCTCAGGGCTACGGGATCTGGGGGCCTGGGATTTAGGATTTAGGGCTTAGGGCTTTAGGGTTTTAGGGTTTTAGGCTTCAGGGTTTAGGGCTTTAGGGTTTAGGGTTTAGGGTTTGGGTGTAGGGCTTTAGGGTTTAGGGTTTAGGATTTAGGGTTTAGGGTTTAGGGCTTTAGGGTTTTAGGGTTTAGGGTTTATAGGGTTTAGGATCTAGGATTTAGGGTTTAGGGTTTAGGGATTTAAGGTTTATAGGGTTCAGGGTTTAGGACTTAGGGTTTAGGGTGGGGTCAGGGATTGGGGTCGAAGGGTTTAGGGGTTTAGGGTCTTGCGTTTTGGGCTGGAAGGGCTTGAGGGTGTTTGGTTTATGGATTTTACAGGGGTTTACACACTGCGGGGGATGTAGGGTGCGGCATTAAGACTAAGGTTTTGTGAGTTTCGGGTAGTTCAAAAGTGGGGCGCCCAATTACAGATCAGAGTTTTGGGTCCAAGTACCTAATAATCATGTACTCTTCTGCATACTAACCTACAAAACCACTCTCTGTAACCCAAGTACAGGATTAGTGGGTCCTTTGACCCTTAGGGTATAAGGTGGCTGAAACTGACGCCTATTTATATCTACCCATCAAGACTCCAGTAGGTGACCTTCTGCCACCTCCCCGCCACTTTAGCCTGCCCAATCATGGTTAAGTGCATCTTACTAGCATGGTATGTTCCTCGGAGCAAGCATACGGGTTTTGTAAATCAGGAGTGTGTTGTCTTGTTTAGGGCTCCTTGCAAACATGATCTTACTACCTGTCGGATCTATCCTCAAACCCTTAACCCTAAACCCCAAACCCCAAACCCTTAAGCCTAAACCCCAAACCCTAAACCCCAAACCCCACACCCTAAGCACTAAACCCTAAACCCTAAATCCCAAACCCTAAACCCTAAACTAAACCCCACACCCTAATTCTGAGTCCAGCCGAGTGGAACCCCGAAGAGCCCTGCTCTCCAAACCGAAAGCCTCAGGCACTATCGGAAGCTCCCGCCTCAGGGTTTACGGTTTAGGGGTTTAGGGTTTAGGGGTCTAGGGATTTTGGGGTTTAGGGGTTTAGGGGTTTAGGGATTTAGAGGTTTAGGGGTTTAGGGGTTTAGTATTTAGGGGGTTAGGGGTTTAGGGGTTTAGGGCTTAGGGATTTAGGGGTTTAAGGGTTTAGGGTTTAGAGGTTTAGGGTTTAGGGTGTAGGCTAGGGGTTTAGGAGTTAAGGTTCAGGGTTTGGGGTCTCTGGACCGTGGGTCAACCACCCAAAAAGCCCATATATATATATATATAGGTATATATATATATATGTGACATATATATATATATATGCATATGGTTGCTGTTCAAAATAACACATAT